CAGTGTTTCTCAACCTTGACAACTTGAAGTCCACAGGACTTCAAGTTGTCAAGGTTGAGAAACACTGCTCTAGAAAAAGTGCAGAGAAGAGCAACAAAGATGGTTAAAGGCCTGGAGGCTAAAACATACGATGAATGGTTGAAGGAACTGGGCCTGGCCAGTCTAGGGAAGAGAAGCACCAGGGGAAACATGATAGCAATCTTCCAATATTTGAGGGGCTGCCACAGAGAGGAGGGGGTCAAGCTATTTTCCAAGGCACCTGAAGGCCAGATAAGGAAGAATGGATGGAACCTGGAAATGAGAGATTTTCTGACAGTGAGAACAATCAACCAATGGAACAGAAGTTGCCTTTGGAAGTTGTGGGAAAGCTTCACCGGAAGCTTTCAAGAAGAGACTGGACTGCCATCTGTCAGAAATGGTGTAGGGTCTCCTGCTTGGGCTTGGGGGGCGGGGGGTTGGACTAGATGACCTACAAGGTCCCTTCCAACTCTGTTAATCTGTCATCTGTAAGGAGCCACAGCTTCTGTACACTGGAAGAACAGAACAAGGCAATGCAGACTTTATGGATGTGTCCAGCAGTGACTTGAAGGCACCAGGACACCACTGCAGAATCACCAAAGTTGTGAAGGCAGCTTTGTAAAGAACCCTGTGGAATAAATAAGATCGTGCATTGCGGAGTGTTGGTGTTGATCAACCTCATTAACTGGTCTTTTTATTCTGCAGCTGCCTTTCTTTTCAGCTTTCCAACCTTCTTTGGGAGATAGCTATTCAAACTCCAGTCTAATCCAACTTCCAGGATCTGCATTCTCCTTTTATAATTTTCTGTAAAATGATTTATTACCTCAGCGCTTCCAAGAGTTTTTTTTTCTCCTCCCCCTCCTCAGCTTAAAGACTGAAGAGAAGAGGTCTAGGATATTAAACAGGCTATTAATTAGTACATAATCAATAGAAATTAATGAACGTTTTCATCCTGGCCCTGTCAACATTGATTGCTAAAGATCCTTTGGCTTCATCACCAGCTGGAAGCCTCCTGTGGTGCAAATTAAAGCAAGACCAAGATAGAAGGAAAACGGATAATATGATTTATACCAGAGACAACCTGAATTTCCCCCTTCAATACCTGGATCAGTTCTGCCCAGAACTTAAAGTTTGGGTTGTTCATTCTACAAAGCTGTGATCCCATCACTTTGCAGAACGTTAGGTTGGAAGCAGGGAGACAGATTTCAGGATATTTGTCGCCGTCCCGCGCCCCTGAGCAAAAATGGATTTGCCAAGGCAAATGCCTGTGATGTGTGGAGCAGAGAACACACCGTCCCACTCAGCTTTTTGTGCATCGTGTTTGTTTATTTGCATACCGTCGCCGTGCCATCCCAGATCAAAAGCTTGAACCGTGAGAACTATAGATCTGTTTTTCTTTTAAAAAAGAAAAGCTTCACGTGAATGCAATGGAGTCAAACATCCTTGTTTTATGTCAGTGTAATTTGATATATCGTCAACTTGTCGGGCAAAAAACACAGCCTCCTATAAGCCTTTTTGCTCAGCAGCTAAGACACGGAGCTTGTCGATCAGAAGATCGGCAGTTCAGCGGTTTGAATCCCTAGCGTCGCTTAACTGAGTGAG